TTATATAATGATCTTGCTACTGGCATCGTTCTCTTATGGTTACCCTAGCCACGTTGGCATTTCTGGAAACAAAATGGCCGATTTTGCTGCTAAAGCAACACTCAACAAATCTGTGACACCGCTTCTCATTCTATACTCCGATTACAAAGCTATCATTAGATCGTACATCCGAGATCCGATGCAGAAGAAGTGGGACACCCAGGTAGGTATCAATTATTTACAGACAATATAAACCTGAAGGATGCTTCTCACTATATATTAAGCATCTCTTCTTTTCCCGGAATAACCGCATTTAAAGCTTTTGTTTGCTCTCAGGATTTACTTTTTGTAAGTAAGACCTCTTCCCAGGTTTTACTTTTTGCAAACATAACTGATATAGGAAAATCCGGTTCAGAATTTCAAAACCCAATATTACCGTTTAATATATCTTGGAAAAAACAAAGGAGTAAAGCCTTCTATAATACTCTCTTGCCACAAAGTCACGTCAGTCCTAGTGGCCAAAATCAATGGGAGGATATTCTGAAACAACATTACAACAAAGATGAGTGGACTAATATTTATCTAATGGCAAACAGATGCACAGAGAGCGTACAGCTAAGGTGGTTTCACTTTAAGATTACTCATAATATTTTAATGACTAAGTACAAATTACAATTAATGAAATATACTGATCCTCCCCTGTGCTCTTTCTGTGAATCCACTCCTGAAACAATAATACATCTATTATGTGAACGTCCATATACTGTGAAAATATGGAAGGAAGTGTCCAGTTGGCTTGATATATTATCCGAAGGAAATATCAATCTCTTTCATGAAAATATTTTATTCGGCTTGAAAGGCAAAAACAATAATCCACTTCATGTAGTTTTTCTTATTGTGAAGTATACATTATATAAAATGAGTTTGAAAAACATGAAGCCAAACTTTCAATATTTTCAGCAGGAAATACTAAATTATTATAAAGCCACAAAATATATTGCCTTTCAAATGCGAGGCAAACACAATTTTATAATTTTTGTATGTGTAAGTATGTATGTATGCGTATGTATATGTACATGAGGTATATATATGAGGTACGTGCATGTATATTGAAATGTATACTTAATATTGAAATGAAACTTAATACAAGCAATGTACAGCGTCTCCTATTATGTATCAGCTAAGTAATGAATATGACTCATGATCATTGCAACTGTGTAGAATTCTTATAATACATAATACATTGTCTATATAACTGACAAATGCTGTATAACATGTTTCTTCTACAGCAGGACTCCAATACTGTAAAATGTGACATGTATATCTCTCTTGAAAGTGGTTTGTAACACACATGCAAAAACTGTATATTATAACATGTAAAAATTACATTTCATCTTGAAATATGATGTACAACATATTGATGGGAAATAAAAATACATAAAAAGAAAAAGAAAAAAGGTTTTACTTTTTGTAAGTAAGACCTCTTCCCACGTTTTTTTCCCTAACTCTATATGAACATCATCTTTCAAATGATATATGAGTGTTTGAAATCAATTGAAAAATATCGTCCGAGATCAATTTCAAACTGCAGGATTTGAACCGCATCTATCAGGCTAATAAGCGGACGCTCTACCTGAAGGCTGCCGCGCCAAAGAAGACGTTGGGCTTGAATTATCTATTTATAGTTACTGTCATTAAATTGATTTCCCTTGCGCTTCAGTTATTGTTATTGTTCTGTAGCTTCATTAAATGATCATCTACATTATAATTATCCATCATTGACGGTTGATATGTTAGGGAAAACACTTCCCCTCGGTTTTGGTAGAGAATGTAAAACCGAGGGAGGAGGGAAATCTAAAGTCCCTTGGGATTTCCCCCTCCCTCGGTCTTCCATTCTCTACCAAAACCGAGGGGAATTTCTGCTATACATAAAACCCACATCGGTTACACCTACTTGGACCGTGAGTCCAGATATACTCATGGGTATTTGTTTAAAGGCGAAGATCCTCCATTTTGCATTTTTGTGATGAAAGAATCATGGTCGAGCATGTCCTGCTTGACTGTATTGATTTTTCCATCACAAGGGATAAATATTTCAATGTCAAAACATTGAAGGATCTTTTATGTAATGTTAATTATCATTTAATAATTGAATTTTAAAGGAAATAACATTACTTGATAAATATTGAGTAATATGTTTTGTAAATGGCTAAATGATATTTTATACATGGTAGCATAAATTAGTAACCGTGATTGCTAGTGGCTGTTTATTATGTTTTTAAAGGAGAATACTAGACAATTGCAATTATTTCCCGTGAGTGATAAACGATAAAGCCATCATGCAAACATGTAACCCAATTTAGGCGGGGAAAATTCCGATCATTTTGACCTTTATTGATTTTTTATCGAAAACAGTGATACGTAGTCCTTAGCTTCGGCCATGTATGCATAACCATAAATGCATAGTTTTGTTCTTCATTTAAAAGTATAACTACAAATGGAAAATTTACGTGACCTTTACATGGGCATTATTCCAGCATATAATGACGAGATAAAGTTTCCATGTAAGTCCAAGGTCCGTGATGTCATAGCACCAAATACAATAGCAAGCAATTTGGTTACAATTTATGATACAGGTCAATCCCTCAGGTAGTTTCAATCAGATGCCCGCTCACGCGGGAAAACAGATCTTTCAGATATCTCGCATCATAATGTGAGTCCCTTGCAGTCGATAAGTCCACACAGTCAAGCAGAATATGCTTGATGGTGAACACTTTAATAGGAGTCCATCCCCATCCGTTTTAGCAGATAGTCATGAATAAACCGAATTGCAATCAGAAATATTACTTCTAATACTGACTGAGTAAAGTGGTTTTACGCCGCCTTTAGCAAACGATAAAGCCACTCATACAAAGGGGGCAGTTACTGGTCCCCATGAGATATATATTATCGCGAAAACAGTTTCTGTAGCTTGCTTGCATTGTTTTCCATTTTGCCATTATCGGCATAACTCGCTATTTGTCAGTTGTGTGTGCTGAACTCGCTTTGACCGAGGTACCATCTTTCAACGCTCGTGACGTATTCTATAATTTCTACCAGGCTGGGAGTCTGCCATCCTAATTCAACAAAATAATTTCAGTGTAATTTTTGTAACGATTAGAATAAAGAACAAGCGCTACAAAAGGAACTGCAATTACATTTAAATACAAATCGGGTTGTTTCTGTCATTTTTGTAAATGGTACGATGGTGTATTTCATTGCCTGGGACCCCCATGGTCCCTAGTATTTTACTCCACATTCAGTTGTTGGCGATCTACAGCCTGGTTTGATATTGTTTAATGAATCTTTTTTTGGTTTAATTACTAGTTTTGAATTTATATCTGTGACAGTCTAGTTGTTTTACTGTCATTCATTGACAGGTGTCTTTAATTTACTTTTAATGATTACAATTCTATAACTCGATTTAGTCACAGTTTGGCTGAAATATTGCCGCTGTGACTTCAAATGTTAACTCAACTCACTCAAAGGGGGTTAAAGTATTGGAAAATTATTGTCCTCTTGAGAGGATACATGTACATGCACATCAATACCAAAACATTCAAAGACAATTTAGACCTATGATGTTTTTTAATCTTAGAATATGTGTGATTTTAATTTATGGCTGGTTTTGTCTCCTGTCGCTAGCTTCTGAAGGGATGGTGTAAATTAAGTTGTGGTCCTTGCAGGTAGCTAAAGCACTGTAAGTCCCCATGGTATGATGTTCTACCTTCAATTTCATTTCGCAACCTTCGGCAAGATACTCAAGTGTTATCTCCCCGCCACCAGGTGGCGCAAACCAGCTTTTTCAAAGTCCCGCGAAAATTCGCCTTTCTCCATTACCAGCTTTCAGCTAGAAGTCGACTCGTGAAGGTTACAGTTGCATTTCGCTTTTTAGCTGGAGGTTAGTACTTTTCTTGCATAATTGGTTTAATGTATTGTTTCTACGAACATAAGACATTATAAAACATGTCTAGTTCGCCATTGCTTTGTCAAAATAAGGAAAATAACGATGGGCAACACGTGGTCAATGTACCGGCAGGTAATACTGCCCCGAGTATGAAACTGTTGGTTTCGGACGCGGTAGATTCGGGTCGATCAAAACAAATCTGACTCAGACGACGATGCTGTCTCGAAACGTTCGTTTTTGAGCGATACGAGAGCCAGAAGGGGTGATAGCACGTGGTCTGTGCAGGGTACCTCGAATATGGGGGACACCCTGACAGAACCTAGACGTTTTGACCCTCATGGGGCATCTAATGTCCCTCGCTGTAGGCTCCCTAAGGGAAAAGTGGACTACATTACCAAGCATTTCACCACTTTCATAGATGACAAGACTATGGAACGTGTGTTAGAGGAATGTCCTATACCGGAGGGTAAGGTTTTGAAGTCCCTCAGATGGATGGCATTATTGAATCCCTTATGGAACAAAATGGGATAAGTAATGAGAAGGGAGCTGACAAGGGTCTAAGATCCATTCAGTCCAGGCTCATGAGAGTTATGGGTCCTTTAGGGGCTTTATATGCTCTACTTGAACAGGCCCGTAATGATCAGTCTACTTAGTTAGACTTCGAGTGTGATTGACTTAGTTGAGAAAACGATATGTTGCACAGGCCAAGTTAATGTAGCCTTGAACTCTACAAAAAGAGGCTAGCTACTTTGTGCAAATTTACAAAGGATCTCAAAAAGAGTAAATCCTTGATGAGAAAACATGCCAACGTCTTCAGTGACACCGAGGCCCAATTGTTTTGCGACGGTTTTCGGCAAGTCTTGAAAGACATTGGAAAAAATCGTAGGGAGGCTAGAGAAGTGCCTGATGCACTTCAGCCCCTAAAAAGAAACTGAAATTTGTGCATAAGCCAAAAGCACAACCTAACCCTCCACAGTCTGCTAGTTTATGGGTCCAGACCCATGTTCAAGCAGCCCTTTCGGCCTGTGCCCTCGGGAGGCAGACAGGTTTCCGGGCGCGGATATACCGGTGGACTGTTAGCAGTGGAGGTTTGTCCCAGTACAAGAGAGGCAAAAGGTATGTATCAGCAAGTTTCTTACCCCTTAAAAAATAAGTTAGAACACTTGTTCTTAGATTTAGATACCCTGCACAAAAACGAAAATCTGGTGGCCCCAGTGCTAGGTTTGAATTTGACCAAGCTGGCTCCAAACGTTCCTTTGGCAGGGAGAATTCATTTCTTTCTAGAAAATTGGGAGAAGATGACTTGCGACCAGTCAGTTCTTACACTGGTGGGGGGAGCAAAGTTGGATTGGGTCTCCACTCCCTTTCAGAAATCCCCATCAAACACTCCATCCTTCTCAATAAAGGAAAGGAATCTAATAGACCAGGAGATACAAGAACTCCTTCAGAAGGGGGCCATATCACAGGTGGAAGGGACACCGCCTCAGTTTCTAAGCCACCTTTTCTTGATCCCAAAGAAGGGTGCAGGCTTTTGTCCTGTAATAAACGTAAAAAGGCTAAACCGTCATCTGAAATACCAGCATTTCAAGATGGAGGGTTTGTTCATGGTTCGAGATCTTCTCAGAATAGGAGACTTCATGTGCAAAGTAGATCTAAAAGACCCATACTTTGCTGTTCCAATGGAGAAAAAGACAAAAGGTACCTCCGGTTCAAATGGAATGGTATGATTTTTTAATTCAATTGCCTTCCTTTCGGTCTGGCCTCTGCGCAGCGCCATTTCACAAACTTGCTGAGACCGGTGGTAGCGTTTCTCGGATGCCTGGGAATGAGGATGATTATTTATCTCGACGATGTGTGGCTGGTGAGCACCAGTCGTCAGGGTCTTCTCAAGTGTAGGGATTCCCTTCTTTTCCTCCTCCAATCCCTCGGTTTCACAATAAAATAGGAGAAATCTCAGTTAGTGCCGACAAGAAGGATAGAATTCCTGGGGTTTTGTATAGACTCCACAGAAATGACGTTCTACCTACCGGAGGGGAAGGTGGATCAGATGAAGAATCAGTGCAGAGATGTACTACAATCTCTCTGTAACAGTGCGTCAGGTGTCTCAGCTGGTGGGAAAACTGCTATCATCTGTTCAGGCCATTCTTCCTGCAACTTTGCAGTGCAGATACCTCCAAATGATACAAATACGAACGTTGATTCAGGGGAAGTCTTTCGAAACTCCCATTGACTCTGGATCACGAGGCGAGAGAGGAAGTTGCATGGTGGATCAGTCAAATGGAACAGTTCAGTGGCAGAGCCATTATCTCCCCCATACCGGATCTGACAGTGGGCTCGGACGCCTCCAACAAGGGCTGGGGGCAGTATGTCAGGGTCAGACAACTCAGGGCGTGTGGAGTTCCACAGAGCTATCATATCACATCAATGTGAAAGAGCTCCTTGCAGCTCTAAAATCATTCACAAAGAACAAGAAAAAAATGTGTGTTCACATGAGGCTGGACAACCAAACGGCAGTTGCACGCTTAGTCAGAGGTGGGGGAGGGGTGGTGTGTGTGTGGCGAAATCCCGTTTGTTAAACGGCTTCTCCAAGGCCATATGGAAATGGTGTGCTGCAAGATCAATAAACCTGACAGCGGAACATCTGCCGGGAATTCTGAATTCTGTGGCAGACTGGCAGTCTCGGAATTACCAAGACAGCAGCGATTGGATGTTGTTGAACAGAGTCATGTTCAAGCAGATTCTGTCGCTCTTTGGACCATTATCAGTGGACCTGTTTGCGTCCAGGCTGAACAAACAGCTGAGCCAGTATGTCAGTTGGAAACCAGACCCAGGTGCCTTGGCGACGGACGCTTTCCTCCAGAACTGGAAACATTATCAGAACACTGCATATGCGTTCCCTCCGTTCATTGTGGTGGGGAGATGTCTGGCCAAAGTAAGGAAGGTGTGTGTGTGTGTGTGTGTGTGTGTGTGTGTGTGGTGTGGTGTGGTGGAGACACTAGTGGTAGTGACACCCCTGTGGCAGGCTCAGGGCTGGTACCCTCTCTTGCTGGAGATGGCAGTGCCGAACCCAATCAGGCTACCACTAACTCGGGATCTCTTAACCTCGCCTTCGGGTCAGGTCCACCCGTTAGGGGAGCTGAAGACACTGCATCTAGCAGTTTGGAAGGTTTCAGGGAATCCCACTCAACAGCTGGAATATCAGAGGGATCTGCAGACCTTCATGCTAGAGCATGGCGGTCAGGAACAAGGGCAGCTTACAAAAGCGCCTGGGGACAGTGGGTTTGCTGGTGTCACGAACGGGAAATTGATCCCGTTCAGTCACCTATTTCCGCTGTTATAGATTATCTGACTTTCCCTTACGATAAGGGATGAAAGTACCTGACAATTAATGCTCATCGGTCAGCAATCTCCAAGAATCATGCTCCTTAGGGGTGTTAAGGTGGGTCAGTTGCCTGTGGTCTGCGAGCATATGCGGACAATCCTTAATGAAAGGATACCAACCCCTAGATATACCAAAACTTGGGATGTTGAGAAGGTTTTGGGTGCCATCAAGGGTTGGGGGGATAATGCGAATCTCTCCGATAAGCTTCTCACAGGAAAACTGGCTATGCTGTTAGCGTTAACCTCCGCTGGAAGGGCGTCAGAGCTTCAGCAGTTAGACACAAGATATATGTGTATCAAAGAGGATAGGGTAACCTTTCATTTGACAAAAAGAACAAAAACTTGTAGGCCAGGGAAAACACATAATGTGTTAGAATTCTTTAGGTTTGAGGAGGACAGATCCTTGTGTGTAGTTGAATGTATTGAAGTATATTTGTCAAGAGAGTAGATTATGGCTGCGAAATGAAATTGTAGATTTCATCAGCTCACGTACTGAGCGCCATGAAATCATAATTTTATGAGTAACCGAAGGCAAGATATGAAAGTGTTCCCACCCACCCATCCCGTTTGCTTGCCTTCGGTACTAAAATAGTTCACCTTTGTTGCAGGTAGGACCTAGCCAAAGATGGAGTCCTGTGTTCTGACGATCTCCAGTGTGTCCGGACAGCCTGACAGTGTGGAGCCCTTTGTGGCTTGATAGTGACTTTAATACTCTAATTCAATTCCGTCCAGATGCCATGTATGCATTGTTTTGCTATTGTTGAGCATTAAAATTATTGTTGATGAGCTTGGACCCGGTTTTGCTTCTCGCTGTTCTCCTGCTAGCTGTAAGCTGGTAATGGCGAATTTTCGCGGGACTTTGAAAAAGCTGGTTTGCGCCACCTGGTGGCGCGGAGATAACACTTTCATATCTTGCCTTGGGTTACTCATCAAATTATGATTTCATGGCGCTCACTACGTGAGCTGATGAAATCTACAATTGTTGGCGACTTATAGCCCATTATTATGTTGTATTGTTAAAGATAGAAAAAGCGTTTTATGATCATATGCTAGTTTTAGGTGTAGATCTGTGATAGACAGTTATTTTACTGTTCTGTGCAGACAGGTAGGTCTATACATTTGCTTTATCAGTCATTCCCAAAAGATGCAGCTTTTTCCCGTATCAGGATTAAAACCTCAAGAAAACCGTCGACTTTTATTAATGTGTTTAAAATCTGATTTCTCATTCATTGCCAATATCTAATCGAACTTTATATTTTTAATTTGCACAATTTTTTCAGAGTACAGATCACGTGTCACGTATAAGCAATGAAAGGTTGACAATCGCATGCTTTTAACACCTTCATGTACAGAAAAAAGAATATTTATTGTATAAAGAAGCTAACAACAGACTCTACACAACTATGGACATACATGAATATTGATCTACAGTCTTTGCTAAATTTCAATAATGTTAGATTTGGACTATATCCAAAGCAGATGATATATGACGCAAATAAAGTATGTACCGATGATCAAAACTTTGTAAATTTATCATATGAGCAGGTTGTAAAAGTAATAAAGTAATACAATTTGAGACATAATAGTATTGGCAGGAAATTATTCTGGTACTATTCCATACCTTCGGGGTCCACCAACCCGATTCCCGTGGGTTTACGCCCCTGTGTCAGTGGAGGACGGTAGTCTGGTAGTTGAGGGCACTGGTTCCAGGAACTGTCAATCGGCTGGTCACGCCAAGCCCTGCGCATGGTAAATATATTATTTGCACATATATATATTTTTGGGCCTTGGATATTTTGAAATTGCCAAGAGTCCTATGCCAGGAGGTGGTGGCTCATGGGCCAATCTGGTTGATCTTTTTGATTAGCTGGAGTATACCTATACCATTCCTGTAACCCTTTGGTGTCAGTTTGCTGGAATACCGCTTAAGTATGACATCAATCACTTAAAAACGTTACTTCAAGTCACCCAATCATTCTGGACATTTTAGAACTTTACAACGACCTTTCTACTGGCCTACTGGTTGCCGGGTCACGTCGGCATAGCAGGTAACCCAAAAGCCAATGTTGCAGCTTAAGCAACTCTTGACAAGCCCTTTTCTCCATTGCTGATCCCGTACAGTGACTTCAAACCCACTATCAAAAGCTATACTCGGGACCTCATCCATAAGAGGTGGGACACTCAAGTAGGAAGGAATAAACTGTATGAACTGAAGCCAACAATTGGTTATACCTACTTGGGTTGTCAGTCAGGACGTGATGAGGTAATTTTACGACGATGTCGTATTAGCCACAGTTGGTTTACACATGACTATCTGCTGAAAACGGATGGGGATGGAACCCCCATGTGTGTCTCTTGCGATGTTTGTTTTCACCATCAAGCATATTCTGCTCGACCTATCGTCTGCAAGGGACTCACACTATGATGCAACAAATCTGAAAGATCTGTTCTCCCGCGAGAGCGCTCATCTGATAGTGAACTACCTGAGGGAAGTTGATCTGTATCATACATTGTAACTGTGTAATGTGACTAACGAATTGCCTGCTATTAAATTTGGTGCTATGACTTTTTCTGTTTTAAAATGACAATGTAATGAATATAAGTTTTGAAATAAAACTCATTCCTCCTCAGTACTTACAATGTTTATTAATACAAACTTGTTGTCGTCAAAAAATGGCTGGAATAATGCCGATGTGACCTAAAGCCCAACTCAACTCAACTCAACTCGCCCTCGTTGGCGCTCTATGGCAGGCAGGGAACAGCTTTGCTGAACCACTATACATTTCATCATGGGTAAACACAATCCAAAAAAACCAAAAACGTCAACTTCCAGAATCTGATTCTGAACTTGATTCTGATGAAGATGAAGTTGTTACCAAATTATTGTATTCCGAAAGGGATCCTTGGCCACGTTTTCTTGTCCTGGAAGCAAAGGGTGAGCGTGCCCTTACTTCCTATTCACCATTTCTTTTGGAAAAGGGACTACAAGGTAAAGCCGGTGATTTGAAAGACGTTACAAAATTACGGTGTGGAAGTCTTTTGGTGCTAGGAAATCCCAGGCCATTAATCTAATGACTTCAACCAAATTAGCGGACATTCCAATTACCTGTTCTGCACATAAAACCCTTAACTTCTCTTATGGTCTTATCCGTGATAGAGACCGAAGTCTTGGTTATGACTCTAAGAAATCGTCTTTGAACTTAGAAGTCACGGTATCATTGAGGCCAAACGATTTACTTATCGCAAAGATGACCATTTATTTCCCTCAAACACATATCTTTTGACACGCCAGTACTGCCGAGTTCTATTAAGGTTGGATGTATTTCTATGCCTATGGGTCTGTTTATTCCACGCCCTACCCGTTGTTTGAATTGCCAGAAGTTCGGACATGGGTAAAATTGACTTGCTTCAGATGTGGAGAATCTGATTATGGTGGGAAGACATGTAATAACACAATCAAGTGCTTACATTGCAAAGGTGATCATATGGCATCATCAAAAGACTGTCCCATGTGGAAATATGAGGCCACTGTGCAGAAATTGTGAAGAACGAATCAGTTACTCCGATACCAGAAAACAAGCTAGATTACTTACACTTGAAAATCCCTTACGTCCGTCTTATGCTGCAGCAGCCAAAAAGGTGACAACGTCTATGCTCTGTCAAACTGATCTAACTTGGGTGAAATCGGAACAACCTAAATGCCGTTCTGTAACAGTACTCACTACAAATGAAGCATCAGATTAAAATCAGCCATCATTAAAACCCAAAGGAACATCATCTTCTACACAAACAGAATCACAAGTCAAACCGTCAAAATCTACTAAAGTGGATACAAAGAAAAAATTCCATAATTTGAAAATATGGTTTGCTTGAGGATATGGATACTGAAGTACCCACCCGTGTGAGCACTGTTGGCCATACAAATGGTCACTCACCGAAAAGAAAGGGAGAGCAGTATCTCCTGTTACTGCTCCTTAGATAATTAAACTACCATGAGTCATTCACCAAATCTAGTTCAATGGAATTGCAGGGGACTTAAAAAGAACTTAAAAGAGATACAGTTGTTAATTCAGGATTTTAAACCATCGGCATTCTGCCTACAAGAGACCTTAACATACAGATATATTTGATTTAAGACAGTACAAGTGTTATCATTCATTTTCTCCTCCAGGGGATAAAGCACCTGGAGGTGCTACTATATTCGTCAGAAATAATGTTATTCATAGTGACTTCCACCTAAATAATAATCTTCAAGCCGTAGCTAGTCGCATTACTTTGCATTTACCGGGTGCTCACTGTATATTCCACCTTCATCTACGCTTCGACAATATGATCTTCAGAATCTGTATGATCAGCTCCCTAAGCCCTGTATCATCATGGGCGATTTCAACGGGCATAACCCTCTATTGGGAAGCACGAGCACAGACAATAAGGGGAAGGTTCTAGAAGATTTTCTTTCTGATAATTTGTGATTCAAGCACATATTTACATCCTGCTACAGGAACTTATTCTTCGCTTGATTTGTCCCTTGCTGATTCAGCTGTCTACAACGAGTCTGAATGGTCCGTTCATGATGACCTATGTGGAAGTGATCACTTCCCTACTGTCCTAAAAGCTATCAAACCAGATGATGATCCACCTTTATCACGATGGAGTTTTTCGAAGGCCAATTCATTTGTATGAAACATTGTGTTTGGGAAAATTAATACGGGACAATTTTAAAGACATATCAGATCCTACAGAAATATTTTCAGCTCGGTTAAATGACATTGCCGACCAATCAATTCCTAAGTCCTCTGCAACTCCTCATATTCGTAAACCATGGTTTAATGATGAGTGCAAACATGCAAGAAAGTGTAGGAAGAAAGCGGAATAATACTTTCGCAGACATCCTACTGTTCATAATTTAAATAATGTTAAAACTACTGGTGCCAAGGCATGACGTGCTTATAAACAAAACAAGCGCCAATCTTGGAGGAAAATATGTCTCCAAATTAATTCACACACACCCATGTCTAAGGGAAATTAAAAGGCAAAGGTTCTAAATCTTCTGTTCAACATCTTAAAGCAGGAAACGCATTGATAACTGGTAAGCGTGACATTGGAAATAAACTTGGTGAAACTCTTTCTAGAAATTCTTCATCATCCAATTATATTCCTGATTTTCAGAAATATAAAAATACACAAGAAAAACAAAAACTTAATTTTGACTCTAATAACGGAGAAGATTATAATGAAGTATTTTTATTACATGAGCTATATACCGCTCCTCAGCAAGCTCATGATACTGCAGCTGGTGATGATAACATTCATTACCAGCTACGAAAGCATTTGCCTGAATCATGTCTTTTGGCACTTTTAGAAATATTTGACCATATTAGGACTTCAGGGAATTTTCCTCCTTCATGGCACAATGCCATGTCATCCCCATACCAAAGCCTGGTCGGTATCATACAGATCCCTCCAATTATCGCCTTATATCGTTAACAGTTAACCATGGAACGAATGGTAAACAATAGATTAGTTTTGTATTTGGAAACCAATAATCTTATCACAGATATTCAATGCGGTTTCTGCAAAAACCGAAGTACTATTGATCCTATAGTACGATTAGAATCCTATGTTAAGAATGCTATTGTAAATAAACAACACGTAGTATCAATCTTCTTCGATCTGGAGAAAGCCTATGATACTACTTGGACGTACGGCATTTTGAAGGATTTACATGATTTCGGTTTGAGCGGTCGTTTACCTCTTTTTATCTCACCATTTTTAACTTTGGC